TTGCTAATCAAAAGGTCAGTGGTTTGATTCTATCAGCGATTCTGCAGGAGAAAGATGTGAGAGTGAGTTGATCAAAATATGTGCCGTTGGAAATCCTATGGGACATCTCTACTCTGTCCCACAGGGTCGTTTAGGAGTTGAAATTGACTGTGTAATGACAGTGAGGGTTTTTAAAAATTTTTATCTTTACCATTCATAATACCAGGGTTTCAGTTCATACCAAAATCAAAAAACAAACACATTGCCATTGATTGGATTCCAACGGAGTGACCCATGAGGCTTTCCATGGATATTTTCTCTCAGTAATACATTTATCTTAATCACATTAGGGTGCCTTAAAAAGCCAGTGAAAACAGTGGCTTCCAAAGGGATCCACCAGGCCATACAAAGTCAAGGCAGACTGGTCAGCTCAGAAGGCTCTGACAATTGTTTTTTTTGGTTTCCAAATCTAAGATAGACTTCTTGAAGGACATGGGGACTTATTATGAGAAGTTTTAAGGGAATTGAAAACTGTTTTGTGGACAAAAAGGCTGGAAAGTTGTGCCAAGGAAGTTTTTTCCATCATGATAATGTATGTGTTCATTACTTAAGGATAGCAAGGGCCTGTCTTACCAGAATTTCATTGGGAAACCTTGCCCCACTCCCCCTACATCCTTGATTTTTCTTCTTCAGACTTCTTTTTGTTCCTAAATTCTGATAATATTTTAAAGGAGTATGATTTGAGTCCCTTGAAAAAGCCAAAAGTGATGTTTTATTTTGGTATGAATGAGTGTAGCATTCTTCAGGGAAGTGCTACCAAGTACACTGCCATTGAGTTGATTCTGACTCTTAGCGACCCTTCATAGGGTTTCCAAGACTAAATCTTCATAGGAACAGACAGCCTCATATTTTCTAGAAGTGGCTGATGGGTGTGGTGCACCCATGTCAGTAGCAAACTGTCTTGCAGATAGCAACTCACCATCTAACTTATACTGCTGTACTTTGGGGTTTATTTTTGTGTGCACTCCAAGTTGCTGCTGGTGGCGTTAGGTGCCACCGAGTTGATTTCAACTCAGTGATCCTGCATGTAAAATCATGATAAACCACCCAGTCCTGGGCCATCTTCACAGTTCAGTTTGAGCCATTGCTGCAGCCACAGTGTCAATCCATCTACTTGAGAGTCTTACTCTTTTTGTGCTGCCCCTCTACCAAGAATGATCTTCCTTTTCAAGGACTGGTCTCTCCTGATAGTGTGTACAAAGTATGTGAGCCTAAGTCTCTCCATCTTTGCCTGTAAGGAGCATTCTGGCCATATTTCTTCCAAGCCAGATTTGTTGGTTCTTTTGGCAGTCCTTAATACTTTCAGTATAATATGGTCTTCCTTATTCAATATCCAACTTTCACATGCATATGAAGTGATGTAGAAAACCATGGCTTGGGGAAGTATACCTTAGTCCTCAAAGTCACTCCTTGTTTTTCAACACTTGAAAGAGGATTTGTGCAGCAAATATACCCAGTGTAACACTTCATTTCATATCTTGACTTGATTGTGGATGGATCCTAACAAGGCAAAATCCTTGATAACTTTAGTTTTTTATTGACTTGTACCTATGCCAGTCCAGTTGTGCGGATTTATTTCTTTACATTGAATTGTAATTATTGAAGGTTGCACCCTTGATCTTCATCGCAAGTGCTTCAATTCCTCCTCACTTTCAGCAAATAAGGCTGTGTTATCTGCATACTGCAGGTTGTTAATAAGCCTTCTTCCAATCCTCATTTTTCATATGATACAGCTTTTTTGATTATTTGCTGACCATATGGAATGAATACATATGATGAGAGGGTACAAATCTGACACGTTTCTTGATTTTAAACCATGCAGTATTTTTGATCCATGTAGAAGTTCCACATGAGCACAATTAAGTGTTCTAGGATTCCCATTCTCTTTTTAAAGGGAAAAACAAAAGTAAGTTTATTAATATTTCATTAAAATGTTATGTTTTAGCTTACAGATGGCAAACTTCCAAAATAGTAGCAATACAGTGTATCAAGCAATATTTTAATATTTCTAATTCATGCATGAATCAACTGCCTGCTTTTCTTTTCTTTTTTTCCCTCTCTTTATTTCTGACTGCTTTGCTTTTCATAAACAAATATACTGGCTTAGAGCAACAATCTCTTTAACTTCAAGGTCAGCTCCTTGGTATTTCCTTATATTTTTTGAGTACTTAATAAATCAGAGCCAATTTTCTTGAACAACTTATTTCCATTCAGAATTTAGTAGTTACTTTACATCACATTATTTTATTGAAAACAATAACCAAACAGCCTACTTAAGTAGCTAAAGTCATAAAATGTTTATGAATCAATCCATTGAATTTATATAAAATAATTATTATACTGGCACACATTTGTATTGGGTCATGAGAAATATTTCATGATAACAAATTTTTTTAAAGAATGAGTTCCTTGGATGGTAAGGAATGAGGAGCTATACAGTGAAAGACTATTATGGGGATTGTATTTAAGAAGACATCTACCTACAATTTTAACATCTGGTGAGACTTTAGGAAAATTACTGGTTACTCTTATCACCAATTGGTTCACCATAGTCAGAGCTCAGCATCAGATTCTGCAGATACTGCATTAATTACCACTGCAAAGTTCTTTTACGGAACTCAAGCTCATATTTACGGTAACAACAGGCTTTGACATTACTATGCAATGTAATGCTAAACAAACAATAGGGAAAAAATGGTGATTAGAGTCAGAATGACGACAAGCCAACAGAACGCCTCTAAAAATAGGGGTAAAAATGAGAAGTTGCTCATATTGCAAAACTCTTTTTGCAATCTTCAGCTTCGTTTCTATCACTATTGTGTTTTCCAACTACTATACTTTCCTCTTTGTTCCCAACTTTTGCATTCCAATTGCCAGGAATTATGTATGCATCTTGATTGCATTGATTTCAAACTGAAAATGTTGGTAAAATTCCTCAATTTCTTCATCAGTAGCTTTAGTGGTTGGTAGATAAATTTGAATAGTTGTATTGACTTGATTTCTTAACATCTGAATAGATATCATCCTGTCATAGACAGCATTGAACTTCAAGAAAAATCTTGAAATGTCCTTTTGACAATGAATGCAATGCCATTCCTCTTGAATTTGTCATTCCTCACGTAGTAACCCGTATGCTTTTCTGATTCAAAATGACCAGTACCAGTCCATTTCATTCAGCTCACTCAGGTCTAGGGTTTCCGAGACTGTTAAGTATTTAGGGGAGCAGACAACGTGGTTGAATAAGCTGGGCAGAATAACCCTTTTTATTCATTTTTCTTGAAGTAGAGACTAGTGTTTGTGATTGAACATTACCTCTGAGGGCAGCATTTAGCCCTTACTAACTTCTGCATTTTCATCTTTTGGTCTACTCTTGTAGCGATGAGGGCTTGGGAAACTGTCTGGGGCAGTTCTATTTTGTCGTAGTATCTTTACGAGTTGAAATTGATGGCACACAACAACAAAAGAAAGCATCTTTTAATTGCAGCTCAAATAGCATTATCTTGGGTAAGCTTTCCTTGTCTCTCCTTGTCTCAGATTGTTTCCAAGTTTGATTACAAATGATTTTAATAGTATTAATAGGCCAGAAAGCATTTTGGATCATATATTTTTGTGATTATTTTGTCAATGTTATCTTTCTTTCCAGGACCCCAATTCCTTGAGGGCTAGGCACATACTGAGTAGTACACATAGTACATACTCAGTAAATCTGACAGAATGTTGGAATCTATAGCTACTTAATTTTCTTCATGAGGAAATGAAAGTTGAACAGTATAGTAGCATAGTCATTGAACTATCGAGTTAGACTGCCATTTAGTAGCTGAAAACACTTTCAGTTTCTTGATCTTGAAATAAATGAGTCCATACATGTAAAGCACTCAGAATAATGCCTGACATGTATGAAAATGCACAGTAAGTGATGACTGTCATTTAGTATTGAACTATGTATCTCTTTAATGTAGACTATTTTCATGACATTCTCCATACTGAGACCACTTGGAAGTCTTGAAAATTTATTCTGTGATCTGAAGTTTATCTTTGAATTTTCAAGCTCCTGCCACAGGAACTACACTGTACATCATTTCCTCTACTTTGTAGAGCGGGCATGTTTATCATATTACTCATTTTTTACTGTATGCAAGTGTTATCGTAGATTTTATGTGTCATTTGGTAGGTTATTTTTTGGGTCTGGAAGTGCTAAATCTCCCCTCCCCCTCCCCAAATTACTAGTAGGAGCCTTGGTGGCATAGCATGGGTCGAAATCACCGCAGCTCCGAGGAAGGAAGACTGGGTTTTCTATTCCCATAAATAGTTCCAGTCTCAGAAACCATCGGGGATGGCTGTGAGTGAGCACTGACTCCGAGAAATAAGTGGTAATTACTTGACTTTATGCCATTGACTTCGTTTCATAGGAATGCTCTACTTTAGGGTAGCAGAAAGAACCTCTATTGAAAAATTGATCTAATTGCAGTGATTGGGATGAAGGCTGGGTTTAGATGCTGGTCTCAGATGAATTTAAGGAAGCTGTAGGGGAGTAGGGGAGTAAGCAAACTTTGATAGAGTTTGACCTGCTTGTTGGATGGAGGTCCTCTCAGGTTGTGGAGTACGTGGACCCAGACCTCTGTCAGGAGAGAAACCTGGGGTGGAAATACTGAAAACTGTCTAAAACCCAAACGGTGCCGGCTGGTTGATGCTGACTCGTCATGCTCCTAACGGACTTTTGACGAAATATGAAGGAAATACGATGTCTAAGTTTTCTCCTCAAAACACTTAATTTGACGTACATATATGCATCACTGCATATAAAGTAATAACATTGTTGTAATGAACATTAGTGAGATGACAGACTGGTTAAGTTTCAGGCTCTAGTCAATGATGTATGTGTTTTAGGAGTCTGTACCGTGACTACCGCACTAATTCAAGTACTTGTACTGTTTTTTGTTTTGTTTTCTCCCCTTAACTAGGAATTGTGGTGCTTGGAATAAACAGAGCTTCTGCAAAAAATGCAATCAGTAAAAATCTAATAAAAATGGTGAGTGTAATGATAAAACTATTTGATTCTAATTTTAAGGTAAAATGTGACATAAATCTGAAATGATTTTCCCCTCTTTTCTTTACCCTGCCTATTTCTGTTTAGCTATCACAAGCTGTGGATTCTTTAAAATCTGATAAGAAAGTGCGGACCGTAATAGTCAGAAGTGAAGTTCCAGGGATATTCTGTGCTGGTATGTAAATTGATTTTATTATGAAATTAAACTGCATTCTAGAGTTTCCTTAGTAATAACCTATTTTCTGTTATCTTTGTTTCTTATAACTGTTTCTGAAGAAAAATTTTGCTTTGTCTGTCAGCATTGTTTCTTTATTAAGGAACCTTTGCAACATGGCGGATTGTTGAGGAAGGGAAGAAACAAACAATTGAGCCATTGCAATATTTATTTGTAATGTAATACACGAATAACATCAATTATCAGTTGGTAATGAAAAATTGGATCTACTACCTATAGAATTGCATACTGTACTTATCAGTTATTCAAAAAAGACGTTAAGTGATTAGTAATAGCAACCCTCTTAAAAGCAGTCAGAAGGTTTAAATTGAAATAGGATGATCAGACAAAGCTTCATTGAAAAGATGAAATACGGGCAACGGCATGGTGAAGGAGATGAGAGAGCCAGATAGTTGGAGGGAAAAAGTGGGGGGGAGAGAACAAGAAGTACAAGTAAAGCCAGCGGAATGAACTAAGGGTAGAGAAGTAATGAAAGGGAGCTCATAGGCCATCGAAGGGGTAAGAAGTCATGAAACATCAGAGATTTGACTTGATCTAACTTATGCTTTGAAGGCATCACTCTGTCGCGTTGAAAGTAAACTGCCAAGAGGCAGCAGATATTCCTGGAACTATTTATAGGCCGTTATATTACACACACACACACACACGATAGGCAGGATAAACAATTCCAAGCAGAAACCAGTAAGACTGATGGTTTCGGGGAGAGGGAGCAAGGGAGAGGAGGAGGCTGGGGGAACAGTAAGGTATCTAAAATCGACTATGAGGATGGAATAGAATGCCTGGTGGTGTTTATCAACTGTAATGTGGCCGTGACAATTACTGAGCGTTGATTGAAGGGTGAACATGATAGTGGGGCAGGAGGAAAGTAAACAGAAATAGAGGAAAGAACTAGGAGGTAAAAGCTATCTAGAGAGGTATAAATATAGATATGTATATACATAAATATAGTAATATATAAAGATAGGAGTATTGGTTAATGTTCATACATTTATGTGATAAAAATATTAAGGAAGCAAATGGACTCTGGGCCTCTAGTTAAGTCTTCCCTCAAGACAAGAACACTTTTTCTAGTAACTTGACAATTTGTGATACTCAACTTCCTCACACAATTGCTGAAGACATTGTGTGCATAAGCAAATGTGGTGAAGAAAGCTGATGGTGCCTGGCTGTTAAAAAGATATTGTGCCTGGGGTCTTAAAGGCTTGAAGTTAAACAAGCAGCCATTTAGCGGGGAAGCAACAAAGCCCACATGGAAGAAGCATACCAGCCTCTGTGCTCACGAGGTATTGAAGGCATCAGGTATCAGAAGATCAAAAACAATCAATTATATTGATGTGAAGGGATCAGAATGGAGCCCCAGAGCCCATCTGTAGACACTTGGACATTTCCTCACAGAAGGGCCACAGGGAAGGGACAGTTCATCCAGGGTGCAGTGTGGTGTAGTATTAAATTAAAAATGACAAAGAGGGAGGTGGGGGACCAGCCCCACTCTCTA